TACGCAGGTGTTGGACCAGGGCCGTAGGAGCTATGTCCCACAGAAATGAGGTGAATGAAGGAAATTCAGCACAAAAGAGGTTTGCCTGTCGTTCCCCTAGCAAATATTTTTTTCTCAGAAGGTCCCTCTCCCCCTCAGACCCGCGTCAGAAGCCTAGTAAGGTAGCTAGGGTTGACGAAACGGAGCAGAGCCCTGCAATGGAAGGCTTGCCGGCATGCAAATATGGCAGTCAATGCTATCGCAAGAATCCTCGCCATTTTTTCGAATACAGCCATCCAGGTGAGCTGAATTTCAGTTGCTTCCATTCGGGTTTTCTTGCTGATTGTCGCGACTATAGCCCCTCCGACAGAATTACTTTTTGTATTCCAATTATCCAAACACATAAGATTGATTGAGTTGATGAAACTTTAGAAGAAGAAAATGCGATCACTGGAACAAGAGTTTTATTTTCCTGACGTTTTGGATTCTGTCGAGAATCCTTAGTCATAGGTAATCTTAGAGAAGTCTGAGCCTGAGTCTGGCCCCTATCTGATGAGACATGTGGTACTCATCGTTTCAGTATCAATATCGTTTTATGGAGGGAAAGCTAGGCGAATGCCCTGGAGCTCCGTATTGGTAAAAATATGGCCAAGTTGCATGGATACAAAAGAAACAGGAGAAATACTTAAGTAACATGGTTGCAAGCTGTTGGTGTCTAAATAGTAATAAAATATGGCTACTCGCTTAGCACTAATAGCATACTGCACACATGAAGTATTCTGCCTCGTGACTCAGATTGTTGCTGGTGATAGCTAATCGAATGTCCCTTTTGAATTCTTTTCGCGTCTTTTGTTTGGTCCGCGGGGACTTGCAACTGTGGCCGATTATGCACCACCACTTCTCTTCAATTTACCGACCAAAACGACCGTTATTCGACTCGTTTGCGGTGAAAGTCTTTGGTTTGCGTTCTTTTGCTCTAAGTGGATATTGATTTTAGAGACTTTTTGTAAGTCAACACTCTCAGACTCGTTCTTGAGTATGCGGCATGGGCAAGCAGTAGCCTAGCATTTATTATTTTCCACCGATCCGTTCGATCCTGCTTCAAGAACCGTTTTACTTGAATCTTCTGAAATCTTGGTTGACAGGTTGTATTATCACATGCGATATATAAAAGTCTCCGTTTATCTGCACGTGGTTTACTGGCAGAAAACACATTTCCCAAATCGGCAGTGCGCTTTGAAAAATTTGTGAAACCCGACTTTCCCTATCTTCGCATTTTCGGGCTAAAGGTTTGATCTCTCAGTAAATCGAATTCCACTGAAGATTTGGAGTAACCTTATTCTTATTTTTTTTCACCGTATGGGTTCACACCTGACATACTTTGGTAAATTTCTGTAAAGCGGAATAACATAATTGTTAAAAGGGATACCTAATAAAGCATACTCAAATCTACCCAGAAGTAATTCGCTTAGAAATAGATCTCAGCGAATTACTTACTTGCGTCTTAGATTGTGACTGATAGGGCGGGCAGCGTCAGCTTATATCAGATAATTTTGCCCAGTGTTGTTTAATTTTCTTTGGAATGCGCTCACCAAAGTAATTAACACACTTCACTTTCAATGTCATCATTTCCAGCTCAAGCGGGCGCCAGTTCATCAGCCTCAGCAACAAGTTCCAATTCGAGGACGCCAGCACCCCCTGTTGCTTCCGGTGATTTGACGTCTAAGTATGGGTTTTATCTCTACCGCGTCAAGGGCCTGAAGTACGATGATCTGCCTACAATTACCCTGTCTGGTAAGCCGCACTGGAACAAATTTACCCTTTGAAGGTCCATTCACATAAATAAAACATTGCTACTTGTAAGGAAGCTCTTTACTTACTTTTAAGGGTTTGAAGATAACTAATTATCATCATTACTATTAGCATACAAGCACTTGACATATTTGTAGCTCGAATCATAAAACCGACAGGCTAAAATCAAGAACCTTAAAACCATGCTACTTAAATGTAATATCCTTGTTTTTTCACCCACTGACATTTGGAAGCTGGGGTTTTTAAAAACCGTCTTGTTTTTTTAAAAAAAATACTGTGTTGGAAACCACACTTAGAAATGTATTTTATGGGATACTGACATCCACTTTCAGGGGGTGGTTCCTTCTTAGTCGCTACCTCCTAGTTTATGTAATCCTACAGGGTGATTCATGTTAGAATTTGAAATTCAAGGCAGTTT